TTACTAGAAAGCAGCTCACTTTGCAAAATGCTTGATTGGTTCACTCTCCATTGCAAACCCAGGAGTCCTTCTAAAAGTATGCTTCCAGTTTGGTGATCAGAAGAAAATGCATTAATCCTGACCTGCTCACAGAAATACCCTCAATCAGAATAAACATGAACCTATAAGGATCTGATTAGGTGGAGACTAGAAGACTGACTGAAGTAGGTGGGTAGAACAATGTAGCAATACTTCGTTATTTGTATTTCAGTAGAATCCAGAGGCTTCATTCAGGGTTGACATTCCTTTAGGTGGGGCAATGTTCAAACAATAATAAAAAATAATTCTGACACACAAAGATTACAGTCTTAATAGGTATAAAATGCAACAGGGAGGAAGTAGGAACAGTCCCAGGGTCACAGTCCTAGGAATGCAAAGCTGCACATATTAGTTAAGTGTACACTTCAGAAGTTTCATACTTCACCTGAGAGTGATTCATTAACTTCTCTTGGTCACCAATTTAAAGAAAATATCATAGTGGGAGCGTCCTTTATGTTCCAATGCCTCTTGTCAGTTACAATGGCTCAGCTGGCCGAACAAAGAGTAGGTGGGCACCAGAACAATCTTTTTTTTTTTTTTTTTAAATTGAGTGGGATGGGCCCTGAGAACGTATATCCCTCATTTTCATAGATACATGGATCACCATATCTGGTAAAGGCAGTTTCACTAAAACTGGACTGAAATAATTACTGTAATAGCAAGAAATCATAGCATTAGCTCTACCATGTCTTGCCTGATGACTAAATGTGTACATCCATTGATCATACCTACACTTTTGTAAGTGGAAAAATAAAATACAGAAATCCTCAAATCTCAAAATTATCATGGGTACTAAAATATCTGAGCGAAAAATCATCCCCTTTCAAACACAAAGTAGCATTTTTAGGATTTGTCCAAAAAAATCCACACTCTGGGGAAATTTTTAAAAACTTTATATTTTTGTCATTGATACTAGAGAACAGCACACACTAGAAAAACTTCTGAGAGGACCTATAGGAGACTTGATATCTATTGTGAGGGACCAAAGAGGGGTGGGAAATTGTAATGAATGACTAAGACCCCAGGCAGTTACAGGAGGAGAAACCATAATGAACAACTGCATGGTCCACCACCCCTAAAGGCCCAGAAATCTTTTGAACATCCTCCAACAAAATTAACACCGGATTTACTAACGAGTAAAGGAAATGTTATTTTACTATAATGAGTTTAAGTTCCACCGCACTTCATATTAGTAACCATAAGTATTTGTTAATATAGGATGCACCCCCAATAAGCTACACAGTGATAGCTACACCAATTTCTGTTATGTATATGTGTATCAGTCACACTAACAGTGATATTGAAAACAAAAACATACTGAGACAGTGGGACCCTGTTGTCATTAAAATATCGTCTCTCCTGGAACAGTAGTGTCCAGTATGGTCAAGCAGCTCTCTCAGTAGATACAGATCTGAGAAGACAGTAGTATCTGTGTTACATAAACTTTCCCATCAATGCTCATTTTAGCTCCTAAAGTCTCATCATCTTCTGGGACAGTAGTGTCCATGGTACAAGACTTCTCCCAGCAGACACAGATCTACGAAAACAGTAGTGTCTGTGTTATATTAATCTTTCCAGCATCTGCTAGAAGGACTGTAGTATTGAATACATACTAAATAAAGTGACATAGCATCTGCACTGCCTATCTTACATTAATATTGCGAAACTATCTTGTTAGCTGATAGCCTACAGAAGAACATCAAACAAAAACAACAACGATAACGATATTAGTTCTGGGAGAATTCTGCAATTGGAGCCATAGTAAAATTGCAGAATTCCCCCAGGACTGAAATATGTATGCGCTACTAATAATTTCATCTACACAGTAAAGTCTTCTGGAGACATTACTCTTCTAAATTTTCTTAGCTAATAGAAGAGACTGTTCCTGGAGGCTAAGGATCATGAATATACAGGGGGACTTTTAAGGAGATACTGCTCATCCACCCCCCCCTAATTATCAAATCTTGGCTTGTGTCAATAAATTGGAAGAACCTAAAAATACGATTGTTTCTCCTACTTTTTTTCCTGCTTGTATAATTTACTCGTGTTTCTCAGCACAGACAACGAAAACAGACTTATCACGTCCTTTGAACACAAATAATAAAGTTCTAGGAATAAAAAGTAGGGTTATATTTGTGGATCCAGCCCTACATTTCCTTCTCAGGTAACTTGACTTTTGTCCAAGTAATAATTTTATAATAGCCAAAAAGACAGGATCCTTAAAAAGTTTGACTATATAGTTTTAAACTCACAAGTGTCCGTTACCTCATGATAATCATAGCCTACTAATGTGTTTTCTCATTGTAAGAGAACTTTGACAAGGGAAATGAGTTTATGCTTACAGATACCAAAGTTGAAATTTTAGGTACTGTTGAACCTTTGCAATTTCAAGTGGCAAGCAGATGATGGAATGGTAGACTATTGTGTGTGATATATCAGTTTGTACATTGCCAAAGCAATAATTTGGGTCTCCAGAGAAATATTCTGTTTTGTGACTGCAAAGAGAACAGTTTCATGATTGTCTATGGTTAAATTTTACTTAATCCAGGCACTTCTAAAAATCTGAGGTATCTGTCAAAATTCAGAAGAGAAACACTTTTTAACCAGGAATTATATTGATATGTCGTTACTGTGCCCAATCAGCAATCATTATGCACACAGAGCTCCCCTGGAAGTCAATGGGCAATTTCAGTCAGTGAGGATTGATTACAGGGTGAGGCCTAAAATTGTGTGTAAGTGATTATATATCACTTACACACAAACAAAACAGGAAACATTGATGGAGACAACATCTGTATAAATCCAAACTGGCAATTCAGATCATGTCATTTTAACATCTTGTCATGAGGTCCTGCAGCACTTTAGAGAAAATGTGCCCACGAAAACTCATGATACTATCAACATTTTTGGTTAGCCTCTAAGGTGCTGCAGGACCATTGCTGAAACTAACCACCTTGGTTGAAATTCCTCTGACTAGCACTGGTGGAAATGAGGAATAATCAGCATTTTGCCCTTCATTGTTAGAACTCATTTGCTTGTAAGGTTAAAAGTTAATCAGAAGACAGTTTTGTGGCCTGGAAAGGGACATTTGAGAGTCATCTTCTCAACCAAAGCTCAAAAAGAGTTAGAGAAAGCCTGAGAGAACTCAAGTTGCATACAGACTAATGGTAAACCTTCAAAGTAAAAATGTTAGAATATGTCATACTGCTGTTTTCCAGTCGTACTTGTCTCTCATTCTGTGCCCTGACTACAGTCCTCTTTACTCTAAGTTCATTTGAAATATTGTTTTTTTCCCCCCCTGTCGGTTACCGCATAAAGAGGATAATGGCTAAAGACCCATACTCATTAGATGCTCATCAGAGCATGAAAGTCTGGAAGATCTGGTGGATTTTTTCAGTCTGCAATTCTTGGACAGCCTAAAGTTTATTGAATACAGTGGGGAAAACCCATATCCATTAAAATTTTATTTTTCCCCCATTTACGTATCAACATATATGGAACTTACTATGTATGGAACATTTTTAAATGTCTTAAGGAAGGACACTGAAACACATCCACATATATTTCTTAAGTATTATCCAACAGCCCTTAGGGCCCAATATCATCCCCACTGTAACCATGGAAAGGGAAGACTCCCATTGACTTTAACCGGCATCAAATCGAGCTCTAGAGCAGCTTTTATTGAACTTAAATATCTAAACTCTAATGGTAAAAAAATTAAAGGAAGTTACACATGTAATATAATTTATTCCTAAGAAAAATACAGTAAAATCCTCTCTCAAACACCTAAATACCATAACTACACTATCATGCCTAATACTAACAACAATATCTAGTTCTTTTTCAGCATGACCACCTTCTGTAAATATAAGATCCAAAGATGGAAAATGAAAACCCATTATACTTTCTATCAAGACAATACATAATTCTTTAATTTAACCCAAATATGAAGACTATATTTTAATTTAAATAGTGACTGCTAATGCTGCTGTAAGGCCCCAAATCCTGCAAATTTTAAACACCTGGTTAACTTTGCAGCAGGAGTAGTCCTATTGAGTTATCATTGCAGTATTAACATTTTAGATGTATAAATATCTATTTATAGGATTATCAAAAATTTCACTCAAACAAAGCTTGACCTTTTAGAACATAAGTTTCTTTCCAATATAAAAAACTATTCACTGGTTCCTGAGTTCTGAATATAAAAAGTTGACTGGTTTGAGAAGTTTGGGTTATTTTGTTTGAGCTTTAAAAAGGACTGCTTGCAAAAGTAGTTGAAAAGCAACTAATCCATAGTATGATCTAATCATTTAGTTTTAAAAAAGTATCTGGTTTCCAAGATACTACATTTCAATCAGTTTCTCCTCTGCTGCAAACTACATTTCATAAAGGATTAAAGTTTTCTTTTATTCTGCAAAAGATGCACTTTAATTATGCATTGATCCAATGAACTTAGAAGGTAAGCAAGTTCACAAAGATTTATAGGGATCTAGACGCTGTTCCCACTAAAGCCAACGGCAAGACTCTCATGAGCATCAACAACAGCAAGGAGCTGACCTTTACAAAACCAGTCATCTATCTAGAATGTAAAACAAATATTTTTAATAGTTCAAACAACAAATTTTTAAAAGTTCTTACAAACCTTTGCTCAAGTATGTTCTTAGCACCACTCCAAAGTGTTTACTTATAACTCTTGGGTAACGAAGGAACATTTTAAAAAATTACATAATTATGTTTCCCAGATTAAATAGCTATTTACAAGCGAAACAAAGCAGCTCATGGTATCACTCATTTTTCCCGGATTTAAGAAACACGTTTTTAGTAAGTAAAAATTATTTGGCAGAGGCAGAAGAAAGGAAAAGAACAGTCAGTAAAAGAAATTAATAAATCATGGTAGAAATTGAAAAGACCTATTAGATTACCTTGCCAATGCAGGATTGTTCTCTACAGCTGCATTTTCTAGTACTCTGTCCAGTCTAGTTTTAGACATCTTATGTGAAATACTGAGGCTGCCTTGGTACAGGTCGGAAACAAGCCACCCCTTCCAGCCTTCCCATCTTTACTCTGCAGAATGCAAAGTTGTATTGATTTGTGTCATTTGCAACGTACCCACTTAGTTGTATATGGAAACACTGGAGCTGAAGGTAGTTCCTCTTCCAAAGGCAGCAGGGAACTGGGAAGTCTCCTTCGCAGCTTCAGAACTCTCTGACATTTGGGCTTTGGAGCTCTTTATAGCCAGGACACAGACACTCCCACTTCTGGGGTGGTAGCCGAAGCAAGAAGCGGCTAGAAAGTTTGTCCGCACCTTTCTCTTCCTCTGCAATTCTCTGTCTCTTACTCTTCTCCCCTCTTTCCTGGCAAACAGACCGACCTCACGGGCGATAGGGAGGACACCGCTTCTTAGGAAGCCTTCCTTGAATTGATTGCCGGATCCTGCTGCACTGTTACCTCAGCAGTGCTACAGCTGGAGGAGCTCTCCTGATTGAGGGCGGCTGCAGGCAGAAGGGGGGAGGAGGGGAGAGAGGATTGGAGGCAGCTTTCTCTGCGTGCTGCTGCTGCGCTGCTATGTTTACAGTCAGTTTCATGCTCTTCGGTCCCCCTCCTCTCGGGAGCCTGCATCTTGCCTGACATCATTCATTCTCTTACACACTCACACACGCCCGCCCCCTCCATTTCCAAACAGTGACTCACCCCAGTGCTGCTGCTATTCAAAGCCAGGCTAGAAAAACCGGTAAGACCTGTAAAGAGCACCCCTCCCTCCCTCCCCCCGGCTACTAAAGGTGGAGAGAGAGCTTAATGCAGAGATAAAGAAGGAGTTGATTCAGTGCCTGCCAGCTCACTTGCTACAAGCACTAGAAGTACCGAGCTGTCAGGCAGGGACAGTGCGAATGTGCGAGATTGCATTGGTCTGGCAGGCACGTCCTGTGCAAGATTGCATTGGTCTGGCAGGCACGTCCAAAGTCCGGCCCGCGGGCCAATTGCGGCCCCTGTTCCGGTTTAATACGGCCCCCCAGGTAATTTGGCAATATCTATCTTTTATGGCCCCCCAACGAATCCATATGTATTGAGATGAACACATTGTAAAATCTCAGTTAATGTCAGTTGGTCTAAATCAGTTATAAATATATTTGGACACAACATGTATACTTGGTGTTATGTTCCTGTTCATATTTTTTGAACTTAAAAGTTGACAGACAACCTTTATTACCAATAATATGTAATGTACTTTACAATGTTCCTGACATATATTTCAGCTTCCTGGATTTTTTTTTTCATCTGGCCTTCAGATATGAAAGGCAGAGTGATTTAACACCTGTTTAGATTTGTCATCCATGTGACGAAATGAAAAGTATGCCGTTTGCAATAAACTTTGCATAAAATAGTTAATTTGCATTTAATTTTAATGGTTCAAAGAATGTCAGGCAAAATGGTCGGCCCTCACGCATGTTCACTTCATCAAATTTGGCCCTCTTTGAAAAAAGTTTGGACACCCCTGCGCCCGCTAAACACACAGAGCAAAGCCCTTCCGAACTGGTGTAAGCTGCCTTTAAATGAATACCCAAACAAGGCTGCCAAGCCTCTTTGTGAGCTGTTTGGCAGACTTAAAGGTTTTTAGTGCTCTTTTCCAGCTATCTTACTAACCTCCTTGCTTTCAGACCACTTCCTGTCCCATTGCTTCATGTCCATCACTTTTCCTGGTTAAAACACATTTCTTCCAGGAGACATCTAAGCCCCTCCCTCCATCAAAGTCAGAGTGAACTGGCTGACAAAATACATCTCTCTCTAAAGACTACAAAATCACAAGATGTGTTAAACTACAGTGTTCAGTTACATTGGCCCTGATCCTACAGCCTACAGAGGTGCTAAAATGGTATGCATAAGAACAGTTCCACAGACGTCCAAGAGAGTGCTCATGTGCAGAGTTAAGCTAGTATCTGTTTGCAAAATTGAAGCCACAGATCACACACTCTGGAGCAGGGACCAGTGTAAAACTTGAAAAGTGCCAAAGTAACTAGGGAATCTTAATCCCATTTTCAAGAGGAAGTCTGGGACACACTTAAAAGCAGTGTCTTAAAATTAGGCGCTTTTAAAAGTTTGGCTGGGGGCAGCTTTAGCTTGGGTTCATGGATGGAAATGCACCTATAGAAATCAGATCTGGATTAACAATGTAAACTTGCTCAGGACCATAATTTCAGGTTTGGCCCATGTGTTCTGACTGTTGGTGGTAGCTTTTTTAAAAAAAAAATTTAATGTCCTGTAATTGCACTAGCAATGGTGACAACAGAGTTTGGGTGCTGGTAGCTGTCAAAGTTTAAGTATTGCAGCTTCTAGAGTCAGAGCTAGAATGAGCAGCACCAGATGCCGCAATGCTTATACAATGGCAATTGTCTTGGTGCTATCATTGATAGATATGCACAAGTATTCGTGCAATAGTGGAAACTGCAAACTTGTTTTTTGTGCTGTATAAATTATTATTATTTTTACAACATCCAAGAGTTTGTTAGGTGCTTTAGAGGAGTGTTTCTCAACCCTTTTTAATAAAGTACCATTTAAAAAATTTATAAGTACCCCCTGTATCTACAGTTTTCAGATACACAATTTTTTTTTCTACCATTGCAACACATGTGTTTAAACAACTTAATTGTAGCCAAGCAGGTGATGTAATTTTGGGTGTAAAAAGTACAAAAAATAAAAAAGTGCTGTAAAACTTAAAACAAAAAATCAGTTTTCTCCAAATTTCAGATGTGTTGACGTACCCTCCAGACTTCTCTTAAGTACACCTAAGGGTATTCATACCACTGGTTGAGAAACACTGCTTTAGAGCAACGATAAAAACAGAGGAGATTCCTGCCCTAAAGGCCTTAAAGCCTAACACCCTGATCCTACTAATGCACAAATGCAAAGGACTATATCTTAGCTAAAGAGGCAATATAATGAGAAGATAACAAACAATGGGTGGAGGAATGTGCGAGGAAAACAAGGGTTAAAATAGTAAGAGTTTCTTACTGCAGTGATGCGGGCATAGAAGTCCATTTAGCTGAACATAACTCATATTTTTCCCTTTAAAACTCAATGATTGCTGATTCATTTTATTACTTAAAGGAAGCAAGGTAAACAGTTTCAGAGGGGTATCCATGTTAGTCTGTAACTGAAAAAACTTTAAAAATAATGAATCTGTGGCTTCAATTTTTCAGCACCTTAGAGACTAACGAAAATGTAGATGGTATCATGAGCTTTTGTGGGCACAACCCACTTCTTCAGATGAATGGAGTTAAGGGGTCCAGTTTCCAAATAATTAGCAGACAAAGAGGGGGGGGGGGGGAAGGAGAAGGAAAAAAAAGTGAAAGTGGGGGGAAACATTGTCAATTAGAGTGGCCATACTAAATGAAGCTAATGGAGTGAATAATAGCCATTCCTCCAAAATATTTATTTTCAACAAAAAGATTAAAAATCTTGCACTTATTTTGGTTACATGACTCAGACTAGTATAGCTGAAAGAGATCTGAGAAAAAAAATGTGTGTCTACTGTTTTTATTTATTTGCTTTGTCCATGATGGCACTTCGTCTGTACCAAATTATTGTTGAGCCATGTGGGTGTGCCTTTGTGTCAGTGTGGAACCCCTAAAATCACTGAGGTTCCAGGTGAACACAAATATCCATCTGTGCATATCAGCTGGTTTTATTAATTTTTTTCATGAGTCTTTCACAAAACAAGAAAGGAGAGCAACACATTTTAAAGATAAGTACATAACTGTGAAGTCACAAACATTGGCAGAGGAACTCAGGGACAGTATAGTACTGAAACTAGTGTAAATTTGTTATTTGAAACAAACTAAATTTTAAGCTGAGACTGCCACTTTAAAATAACTGTAGGCAAATACAGTATAGCCCTTTAAGTCTTAAAGTCTTCAAAGGAGTTTTATGATTTTAAGAAAGAAATCTGTTCTCCAAAATGTTGCTCTCTTCAACATATGCAGACTGCCATGGGCAGATCGGAGTATATAATTTTTCCCTAACTATTTTTGGGGATAGGGAAGAGAGAAAAAGAAAGATCAGAGAGACCTCTCTGTTCATGTCAGCTGAAGCAAACCCAAGTATCTTTTTCATTACTGTTTTTTCTTCCATGAGATCAGCAGGGATATTATTGGAAACAGTAATACTATTAATGGACAAAGCCAGCTTGTGCATTAAAATTGTTTTTATTTCCAAAAAGATGCCAGGCAATTTTCAAAAGAAACACTGCAGCTAGATTGCTGCACGGGTCCCATGGGGCAGAACGAAAGCTGTATCTGGTGTGGGTGGAAAAAAAGGATCAGCATACTGAATAAGTTTATAGGAATTTCTCATTCAAACTGATCTTACAGTTTATAGTCAAAATAAACAGTGGTACAAACTATGGCCTCATCCTGCAATAAGCTACAGGCAAGCAGACTTTGCCAGATATGTGGAAATGAATGGGGCTCTACATTAGCACAAGGGTCACTTTTTCAGAGAATATTTCAGGATATAGACCTAATGGGTAGATCCTGCATATGTGCATGAACATGCTTAAGTTCATCTATTTGTGGGATCCCATTTAAGTTTTACAATCACAAGCAGCTTCCCAAGCTCCACAAATGCTACACTAGACAGCGAGAGATTTAAAAACAAAGGGTTTTTGTAGCATAAACCCACCATTAGAGCTGAGTGCCTCTTTCATCTATTTAAAACCAAGCCCTTGTTCCCATAGATCCAGTTGCAGATATGGAGCCTACTTCTCATAACAGCCCTATTATGTACAGTTGGCACACATTGTTTGTTATTCCCAACTAAAAGATGGGTAAACTGAGTCAAGGAGAAGTTAATTTTCTCTGGTCTTGAAACAAAGCATTAAGAATGGAACTGAGGTGTGTTAGACCATATTTATATAGAAAACCAGCATAATAATAGATTCCAGCTCAAGTTGGTATGTGTGAAGTGCCCATTTTCTACAAACCTAAGTTAATGGTGCCATTAGAATCAGATACGTAACGAAGAAGAATGCCATTTGTTCAATACAATTTGCGCTCCATCTTCCCAACTGCTATACCTTCCATAGAAGTAGTCTTTAGAGTTCTAGGTCTTCACAACTCTAGATACCTCAAAACATTTTACAAAAAAGCCAGCCTAATTGATTCCCTAGTAAATGAAATCTCATCCTCAAAAAAGGGCTAGCTTATTCTAATGAACACAACATTTTTAAAAAGGCACTCAGAACAAACATTCTTGTTCAATCAAATGTTCCCCATCAGTCTCTAAAATATAATATTTTGCAATGGACAAACTGTTACACCGATTGGAAAAACTGTAAGAAACACAGATGCTTATCTGCTATCCTAATCAGTCAAGTTCCTGGCTTGTCTAAATTGTTTTGATGGCAAACTTGACTTTGCATCTCCAGAATGCTGAGTCCCAAACAACCAGTCAGTAAATCATTGTTACTGAAAGCTAACATATTAAGAAAAGGGCTAGGCTGGATTGTGCAAAAAGGAAGAGTACAGAGAGTAAAAATGAACTCTTTGTTCAGGATAGTTAATTCAGATACAGTATCTAGTTATGAAGATTTTTTAAAAAATCTAACTTCACTTCTAAGGCTGATAGACACTCAGAGATGAACATCCAGTTATTCCATCT